CGGGTCATCAATCCCGGCCGTCAATCTTGGCATGGTGATCGACTTTGCTGTAAGTGATCCATATTTCATTACCAGCCACCAGCCGCTTCAGAAATGAGTTGATTTTGTTAAGATTTTGCAGCAATTCGCAGATGGAAATTCCGTTCGTGGGCTTCTTTATTCATTAACTTATCCAAAATTTTTCAAATGGTTCCAAACTGTGCCATGTTCAGCTACTTGGCAACCAAAACAGTGCTCGAAGGCCGGTCGGACTCGACGTATTTCATTATATTATCGACATTTTCAACAACTGACCTTCTTCACCTGCTCTAGTTAAGTGATCTACACTTCCTCCATTATCTTTTTAGTCACACTTCGTGGCTCCCTACTTTTTTAAAGAAAAAAAAACAAAAAATTCAAATTTAATGAGAAAAGTTGGTTATCATTCGAAAGAACATTCGCTGGCATTTTTTTTTTGAAGATTATTTTTTTCAAGTGCTGGACATGGCTACGCCTCAGATGGTCCATCCGGTAACTGGTAATTGGCGAATAATACTCATGATGCTATGCTTCAAGCCCTGAATTGAAACCCAATTGTCCGCAGAGACTTTTGACTTTACATATCCCCACAGGAAAAAGTCTAACGGTGTGATATCACACGATCTTGGTGGCCAATCGACCGGCCCAGAAAGTGAAATTATGTGCACATCGAAATCTCAATAAATCCATTGATTGATGTGATGTGTGGGAAGTGGCACCGTCTTGTTGAAACCAAATCGCGAGCTTCATTTTCAGGCATCAAATATGCGGTTATCATGGCGCGACAACGGTCGGTACTTACGGTTACGTTTTCACCGTCAACATTTTTGAAGAAATGTGGACCGATGACTCCACCGGCCCATAAAGCATACCAAATTGTTTTTTTTTCAGGATTAAACGGCAGCTCTTTAATCCCTCCGGGTTACTCTTCGCCCCAGTTGAGGCAATTTTGCTTGTTAACATACTCATTCAGTCAGAAATTGACCTCATTGCTAACAAAATTTGTCTCGAAAACGTCAGATCTTATCTCGGAACTTTTTAAGAGCTCATAGAATGAAGCAATGTCGTTTGGGTTGGTCGAGCGCCTAGAGTTCTTGCATAAACTATATTTTGTACGTCTTCAGTTTAAGATCACGATGTAAAATGCGACAATTCGCTCTATACGTCAGTCCTAGTTGCTGCGAAACGCCGCTGAATCGACTCTCCACGGTCTTCGTGTACTTTCTCAGCTCCTTTTTTTTACTATTCGCTCCATACAGCAGGACGGAAACGATTAGGGGCTTCGTGCGTCGGGAGAGGACTTTACTTTTCAATTATCTCTTCAGAGCAAAGTAGCACCTGTTGGCAAGAGTGATTCTGCGTTGGATTTCAAGGCTGACATTGTTGTTGGTGGTTCCTAGCTGGCTGGTTCCTAGATAGACGAAATTTAGGCTTAATAAATGCATTGAAACCAAGGACGATTATGTGGAGAAGATTAAATAGGATAAAGATTACGAAGAAATACTAAAAAAAATTTCTTTTCTTGTCAACTTATCGAACTTTTGTTAATCTCCTCGTACATATGTACATACATATGTATGTCAATTTTATTTAATTTGTTTAATTATTTGTTAGTGCCCGCTAGACTGCAAGTGTGTAATAAATGAAAAGTCTAGCTACCATAAATCCAATTGTTTATTAAATTATAATAATAATAATTTAATTTTTTTTATTATTTATTTTCTCCAACATTCGCATGCACATCGCTAAGTCATCGTGACAGAAATATCTGATTGTTGAACGGATATTTATATTTATTTATCTTACTCATAAAGTTGCGATTGCGCAGCGCCACAATAATGAGTGCTGAAAGAGCGAAAAAAACTTGTATGCGTGTGTGTGGGTGTGTGAGTGTGAGTTTGTGCAATTCTTTGCGTGAATTGTGTTGGAAAAATCGCATAGACGCTTTGTGTATTTGCAAAAAGTTTAAAATTTCAATAGGAAAAATATTATATTATATATGAGTAAGTACGCGTACAATGTATACATGTATGTATGTGTATGTGTGTGTAAGTATTTTACTACTTTATGTTGTAAGCAATGTTTGTTATAAAGTTATGTTTTCTTTATTTGCGTTAGGAAGCTATTGCAATACGAAAAATTTTGCTGGCAATCATCCATGTCGCTGTCACTTGACCCAATTGGCAGGAGCAAAGGCTTACATTTCGCGCTACCTTTCATGTTTGTAATGAGAAATGTTTGTACGAAAATGTGAATTTTCGTGTGTATGTTTGTATAACTGTATATTTGTTTGTGCTAAATAAAACAGCAAAGCAAACACAACCATGCATACATACACACATATTTACTAACTTCGACTTCCATGCGCTGTGAGTTTACTTCGCTGAATATTGAAAATATTATTTTTTTTTAATATACATATGTATGTACATACCCACATACATACGTATGCATTCCAAACACACTTACGTTACGTTAACAGTTACATGTGCAAATATCCAAGTAAACATGCTTTGAAGTGCAGCAGCCGCAGCGACTGTAGCAGCAGCAGCCACAGCCGCAGCAGCGTCAGACAAATAAACGGAAGTAGACACATTGGCGCGCTAAATAAAAAGAAAACTGTTTTTGGACAGCGGCTTTTAATCCTTTTTGAGTTTTGTATACAAATGCAATTTGGTTATATATGTATACACCGTCATACATACAACGTGGATTGACTTCAACGCAGGATTTGGCGAAAAAAAAAATGTGTCGAAAATAATCTGTGTTTGGGCGTTACTGCAGCTCTTGAGCCCAATGCAACTTTCCGTTGGTACTTATAGGTTCTTCAGGCATTTTACGGTTGAGCTTTTGCCTTGGTTTTCGGTACTCGCTATGCCTTTTTTATTTCTGCATAAATACCGGCTTCGGGCTGTCGCTATAGCGAAGGATTACAGTTTCTTATCGTGATCAGGCAAGCATCCAAAACTAAAGAAAGTTTTACTTGCGGTCGCACTTCGGCAGGGAATGTCAAGCACTCCGAGTGTATTTTGAAACTTTTTATAAAAACAGCCCTCCGGAGACAGCTTCAAATAAGCCACTCTCATTGTTGAAAAAACATCAAGACGTAAAAAACAAATTGGAGTATGAGTTCGGTCGAAAGTCCTTTCACCGATAATAGATATCAATGCTGGCGCTCAGAGCCGCAGCCAGCTTTGATGAAGGCAAAACCACAAAATATGTTTTTCAATATGTTCGTTAGAGGGTTACTTCGAGTGAATTTCGGACATGAAATTAATGGATTCGATAATAATAATGGAAAACCAAAAAGTCGAAGTTCTCTTCGAAAATTACTCCAACCGACGGATATGCTAAGAACTCTTTTTATTTTGTACTCGATGCGCTTCGAATTGAGTCGAAATTGTTGTGGTGGTAGTGGAAAAGGTAGGGCTCTTTTTAGCCCAATTTGAAACCATCTACTATGCGCTCTCGATCGAAAAGGAATACTCATATAACCACGAGGGCTCTTTTCCCATTGAGTGTAATAACTAAAAACTAAAAAACTAAAAACTAAAAACCACAAACGTTTGGCCAAGGTTCATGAAAGTTTTTTTTCTACATACCGCTATTCAAGGAGGGGTTGCCATTCCCTTTCGAGCAATCGGAGTTGATATCTTTTCTATCTTAATGTTTTTCCAATAGATGGAGGGACGTACAGTTTTTGCTAAGCCTCCGCCTTCGAACGCTCAATGAATTTTTATGAGCAGCTTTTAAATCTCATATCATAAATACACTTAGAGGGCTTGACCTTAACTGTCTATGGGTGAACGCATTTAGAAAGATTAATTTTCAATAATTTCGGATGTGGTCCGAATCAGAACTCGAACCCTGGCGTTCAGAATGCCAGTACGCACTGATAAGAACTCGGCTATTGCGGCCGCCAATAAGGCATACCTGCGAGAAATGTAAAGTATTCGTTCGATTAGGTTCTTCACAATAAAATACTAGATTTTCATTAGGAGTGAGCTAACTTCTCTGGACTTAGGGTTTAATTGTCGCGAAGGTTTAGCTTGTTTTCCGTCTTTCGGGTTACCCTTCTGGTAATCGTATAACCGATGCAGCGCCTTTCGCTCTATTCTGTCTTTGTATCATGTCTTGGGAATGAAGATCATTGGCGGTTCGTGCCAACAAGCTGTTAACCTGATAAAACAAACGGGGTTCCTGTGAATTATTCACTTCCATAGCTTGCGTTATTGGGGAAAAAACGCCCTTTTTAGCCAGTTCATTGACTAGTTCGTTCCATTTTTATGCTTTAGGTAAATTGTCTAGGCCTATTCTCTAGAGTAACTCTTTTGCACTTTTTTTGTTATCAAACACGGGTGCCTCTGGAATGAAGCGTGAAATGAATTTTATAATGCCTTCCTCGAAGCAACTTCTCACCAACTCCTTCGCCCACTTTCCCGCCTATATTTTTATCTACTCGTCGTTTGAAACTTTTTTTCTTGTGTAGCTTCAGGAAAGTGAAGAGATAGTAGACCAGGGGAACGCGTGGAAGGCTCCGTACATTCCCTAAACGAGGTGAGCTGTTCCCTCCTGACGTTGACCGTGTGGGGTCGTGCAGTGTCTTACAGTAGGCAGCTTCATTTTATCAGCATGCCTATTCTCTTCTTTTGAATCTCCCTCCGCAGCTTTCACTACATTCCAAATCGCAAACGGATGTTTCCTTTCCAAACGTGTTAATGGATGACGTCTGCCCTTTGCGGGAAACTGGATTGATATTGTTCCCGAAACATGTTTTTGTCTTGACTGGTCGCTTTGTAAAGGGCAATTACTTTATTAGCCATCCTTTCATATTTAAGAATGATCGCATATGAACGACTGTATCGTCTTTAAAGACTATTTTTAAGCGGTTCCAGAGATTCCGGTCCGAGCATTTTTCCGTAGAGGACGAGTCTCGATTGCAGAGCAATTTTTCCCAAACAAGTTCGAAAATGATCAGTCTAGCAACTTTTGTAAAGTCGTTACTGGTGACGAATCTAGGTTCTAGAAATAAAGAAAAAGTAACGATGTCAATTTACTTCACCCGAGCTAAAATCGTGGTTGCTATTCCACTGGTAAAGCATCAGTTGGTAACTCTAAAATGGTACACCGAAGAGTGCTTACCAAAAGTTTTCAAAAATTTATTGGAAAATAAGAAGCAAGAAGACTTTCCACTTACATCATAACAACGCGTCATTCCACTCTGCTGAAATAACGAGTAATTTGATTTCGATTTCTGGGATCGAAGTAATACACCCAACACCGTATTCCACGCATATAGCATCTTGTGACTTCTGGTTATTTCCAAAAAGTAAAAAAAAATCAAAAGGAAAGACTTTTAATAGCAACGAGGATTAATGCGGTGAAAGCCGAACTTGAAAAGCTCAAAAAGCAAGATTTTGAAGACTGTTTTCAGAAGTGGATTTTTAGGCTTAAGAAATACATTGAAATCAAAAGCGATTATATAGAGAAGATAAAGAAAAGGACAAAGATTACAATCAATTTACTAAATACAAAAAGAGCTTTGTTGTTTTTTTCCTGGTCAACTTACTGAACTTTTGTTAATACCCTCGTGTGTCCTTTACGCTGTTAGTGTGTAAACTGGATACTGATCTAGACATGCCTGTGCTCTATTGCAATTTTCGTTGATCTTAAGACTCTATGACTTTTGGCAAGCCTTAGCATGATATATTGTTTTTTTTTACTAGAATTTTTCCTTCGGAAGCTGCTGATCGTTCCTTTGGATTCACCCAATCAATGACGTTATGGAGTAAAGTTCCGTAATTATGAAGGTCACATTGATGGCCTGTACTTACGCGGTATTTAAGCTAAATTGAATAATTTTTTGTCAGAGATGAAAAGAGATGAAATCAGTCAAAGATGAGGGAAAATAATTCAAGTACATTGAATTTAATTGTGTCCGACTCTGCCGACAAAGCCTCCTTACCCGTTTCGCGCAAATACTACTGGGTACAAAAAAATCTCGCTTGCAAATATATTTAAATCAAAGTATATTTACATACACACATACATGTAAATATACACACACTTGTGTATGTATGTACATACATTGGATTGAGGCTTTTCTGCTTTAATTTTCTTTAATTGTGTGGGTTGCCCATCCGGTTTCCGCCTTGTAAATTAGAGTTGGCAAGAACTTATTTAAATAAATCTTAAATTTATCTACAAATGTCAAAAATGGCGCCCACCAATGGCACTGCAGTTATGCTAGTCGTGACGCCAGTCACACGGCCTCACGCTCGGCTCTCGTCGTCACACCATTCGCTTTGGCAACAAAAATTAATCTCCTCGAGGCGTTTATAAAAAGTTTGCGTCCGTACTGGATGATGGGAAGGCGAAAAAATAAAAACAAATACAAAAACAAAAAAAAAATATATGTTTTAAGAATATTTACACAAGTAAAACAAACAAATGAATAATTGGTTACTTTTGTACATACAAATATAAGTTCATTTGTTTAGAAATTTAAATACTTTACCGTAGCGAGAGGAATTTAAAGAGTCAGTCTTTAATTTAAAATTTCCGCTGATGATGCCTTCTGATAGTTTTTGTAAGGAAAAGCAATTAAATTTTCAATTTATTCTCAATTTCACGATTCTCGAGGGCTCAACTCAGCGGTTATTGTGGTCAGATACAGATACTTGATCTTAGGATTCTCGTATATGTGACTAGCAATATCGAGTCGGTCTCTTTTTAGTTTTTGTGCTCTACTGAGCAGACAACGCTTACACGATTAAAGCGGAGCTAAAAACAGTAAACCGTTCATTCCTTCCGATGTATGTCCAAGTCTGTCTGCACTTGATCTTTCCAGAGGCGTAGAGGTTCTCCTATCTCGTTGCTTTCATCGGCAGCAAAATCTTTCTTCCGACAACACCTAATATCTCATCATCTATGGCTCTGCACAATATACTAGGGTGGGAACGATTAGTGACCTGTAGAGTTTCGTCTTTGCGCGGGGTCTTTGTTGAGAGGAATTTACTTTTTTAGAGTGATTCGGCGTTGGACTTTAAAGCTGATATTGTTGTTGTTATTCCAAGTTATCCAAAAACATAGACACCATCAAAGTTATGACTGCCAGTAGGGACGTAGTGACCAAATCGCGTATGTGATAACTATTTGATGAGAGGAGACTTTTCGTACCGTATCTGTGCATTACTGCATTACATACGGTTACTGGAGTCAGTGATAGCAGTATTACCGGCGTACGTCAGACTGTACGTTCTTTATTCAGCTTTGCAGCTCATATTATTTTCGTCAACAATCAATTAAAGAAGTCTCACGTTAAGCACTTCTCTTGTCTGAAGCCTCGTTTGGTATCGAAGACCTCACCGATGCTGAGAGAAGTTTATCCTATAGAAATAGACTAGTACTGTGGAATTACTCTTTTTATGGATTGGGCAGAGCTATCCTGTAAAGAAATTAATGCTTGCACCTTAGCTGTTCTTTGTCGCGGTATTTGAATAGTTCGTCTATAAACCCATTGGCCCCATCGTTTTGCTGGGTTTCAAGCGGGCGATTGCTATTCGAACCACTTTGTGGTAAGGTAATGGAACGATTGAGATTGCATTCGATTGGTATTTCGGGTTCACCATCTCTTGGTGTTTCATTGTTACTGCCATTCAGCAGACTGGAGAAATATTCCCTTCTTGAGTTCAGCATACTCTGGGTATCAGTGAGTGGATCATCTCTTTGAACGCTACAAGAATTTCACCGGTTTTGAACTCTTCTAAGTCTTGTGACATTTTGCCGTAGAATGCTCGAGTATTGCCCCTGTCGGTTACTTTCTTAAGCTCTCCATAATGACGCATATTATTCTCTTTCTTATTTTAGCTGCTTTCCTCTTCAATTATGGGTAGTTATCCCACCCCACACATGTAGTGGTAAACCGTAATGTTGCGAGGTGGCAGCCGGAGGGTGTAAGTCAGCAAAATGTTGAAAAATTTCGAATTTATGTTGATTGGGGCGGGAAATTTATTCACCGCGGTGCATGCCAGGACTCGGCTATGGATTCTCTTCCCCATCATGAATTCGACAACAAATTTTTGTATGGTTATGATATTTAATAATATGGCTTTGTTCCGTTCCACGCACTACTTGGACGGCGGTGGTTCAGTACTCCAAGGAATCGAACAGCTGGGCAGAGGCATCTTCCCAATTCAGTTCCAGGCGCATGCCAATTGAATTATATTCTTTACACCGTTACGTGGGTATGTCATCCGAGGCGCTGTACACCTTTTCATTTTAACTGATTTCTACGTGGCGAACAAACTTGTTAAGCCGTTAGAATTAAATTTCGCATAAGACCCACGTCCGTTCGCAGCTTCACCTCTAGTATAGTTTGTTTTCTTTTGCCGTTGAATACTGCGACACTCCTACGAGCTTCTTTTTCAACGTATTGGGCGGTCTTTATGTTTTTTCAACAAATTGAGAAAGGGAAAATTCAAAAATAATTCGGCTCCTTTTCATGCCAGGAATCCATAGGGCTTTACTTTCGATAATTTAAGATTCGAACCCTGAAATGTTTATACAGTACTGACTAACACGGCAAATATCTCTTATAGCCTCAACTCTTCAATGATGTCGTAAGCTTGTTCTTTGTTTCTAGTTAACACCTCAGCCCCGTGGAGTCAGATTGATCTTCATTATTCTCTACTCTCCTCTACTAAAATTTCCTGCCAAACTCAGAAATTCATCACCTGCTGCCTTAGACTCAAATGAGTTTCTTTATAAAGCACAAAGTTTTGTGTATATAAGTTCAAGTGCTATGACTGTTCATGCGAGCACTTCAAACCTAACCTCACATAACCTAAATCAACTTGTTGCCTTTCCTCTAATTGCCAAGCCTTTATTTGAGTACGAACTCAAGAGAGTATTTTTATTCGAAACAAATTTAAATGCTAACTTTAAAACCCACAAGTGGATAAAAATAAAAGCTTCAAGTGCATAACCACAACCACAACACACACACACACCTACATCCACATCGATATGCCTCCACACTTAAATTAGATTTGAACAATGCAAATGTGGAGTTGGTTTTTGTTGTTGCTGGTAATGAATGCTTGTGAATGAGTTGAAAGTAAAGTGTAGAAGAAGAAGAAGAAGAAGAACAAGAGTAATAAAATAAAAATAGAATGCTAGTTGAATGCGAAATTTTGTCATTTACGTGAGAACACACACACACACACATACACACCACTGGCAATTTTATAAGTAAACCGAATTTATATGTTTCGAGGAAATTCGTAACAAGATAATATTTTGCCAACAGGTATGGCTTCCGTTGTCAAAGTCATTATTGTTCTTGCCCGTGCTGTTATTTTTGCTGCTGCTGACGTTGCTGTGGCGGTGTACCCGTGTGTGTGTGTGTGTGTGTGTGTGTGCGTGTGTGTGTGTGTGTGTGTGTGTAGAGTTAGCGTTGTAAGTATGAATTTTGCTAAATGAAATTACCTGAAGCGACATTAAAACGAGCAGAGATATTTTTTTCGGCGACGGGCAGCGGGTGCGGCAAGGAGCAAAGGAGAATGATAAGTGTTGGCACTACTGCCAGCAGGCAAGCCAAAGAGGAAGAGGCAGCTGTAAAAGCAATGGAAAGCAGTTGCAGTTGTTGTATGTGTGCGTTGGAAGTGCTGCCAAAGGGATGCCGCGAAAGAAACGTTGCTATTCGTACGTGTGATGTCGTTGCCATTGCTGTCGCTGCCACTGCTTTCGCTGCCGCTGCTGCTGTTGCTGCTGCTGATAAATGTTTGAGTAGAAGTGGCTGAGTTGCAAAATATGCACGGTGACAGCATCAGGAAGGATGTGCAGCGTACATGATGCAACCACAGAGCACACAAACCTACACACAAACACTTATGTACATGCATACTTATATGTATATGTATGTATATGTATGTTTGTATGTGAAAAAGTATGCAACTTTGCTTTGACGTTGATGATTGCGGAAGCAGTTGGCATTGAGGCGGCGGGTCTTAGCCGCAAGTAAATATTCTTATGTAAACATTTTTCATTGGCTGTGTGTGTGTGTGTGTGTGAGTGTGAGTGCATAATTTGGAATATATTTATGCATGCTAATGTGACACTAAAGCGAGTAGGATGTGCTGCTTCTGCTTCGATTTTCGTTGATTTTCGTTTCTCAATGTAGATGGAGTTTGTGGGAAAGAACCTCGTGCTACTCACTTCACTGCCTCGTCTTTCTTCTCTCTGTAAACAGACGACAGTTCGTAGGAAAAGGTGAAGCTAAGTCCGTTTTCATTACGCTTTAACAACAGACTAGTAGACTCTTTTCACTTCTTTGTTCTTCAAAAATTCATGGTACACATTAAGAACCATGCTCTTTGTCGTTCTATTTATTTCTTACTCATTTCTTTGTCATATCGAGTCTTAAGAGATTCTGTCTGCTTTTAGAAGTTGTTTAGGGCACGCCAATCTTCCTACGCTCCTTAGTCGTAGAAAGATGTTTTGAGTTCTAAACCGACTAAACCGATAAGAGGTGTTATCAAGTCGATTCCCACTAAGCGAGCTTAACTATACCATCCCTTCTATATCGATTAGACACTTTATGCCAA